GCAAGGGCAGCGAACGGGCACGTGGTCAAAGCTGATGAGGCAATTGGAGTGAATCACTTCGATATTATCTCAGACAATATCAAGTCAGGTTGATGTCTCGTCTGGTCTTCCTGGATATTAGGAATGAATGTCTGTAAACAGCGGCTCTGCCTCAGCGTCTTCAGCTGAAGGCGGTCCAATGAGTCTTGTTCCACGTCTACACAAGTACCCATCGGCCCAAATGATGGCCAAGATAACACTCTGTATTACCAAGAAAGAAAGATAGAACCCCCATCGATCAGTCATGTCGTATACTTTGGTGCTATACTGGACCAAGGTCTGGCCCACGGCGTTACCAACGCAGGACAGTGAAATGGCGGCCGCTGCCTCTGTCCAGCCTTGAGCGCTTTGCAGAATTGTTGACCAGAGTACTCTAAGTTGTGAGAAAGTTCGAGACCAAGTTGGAAGAAGCATGTACTTACATGGAAGAACAATTTGGTCAAGGTGTACAAGAACTCGCAGAAGAAGGATTGCGTTCCTCCAATAGTGGCTGCCATCCTGGGAAAGTATCATGATTCCGGGGACAAGACAGCTCACTACCATGAATGCGTCTGGCAAAGTCACAAGTGTCAGCGCCATTCGTTCTCATTCGCCGTCGATAATGCGTTTACTCACAGGAAGCCGGGGGCTTGCAATACGTGACTAGTCCTACTAACAAAGTAATCACTATGTAAATAAGACCTAGGCTGGAATCGTCGCGACCATTATTGTCTCTTGAGTCAAAAAGAACCGAGGTCAGAAAGGATACAGCAAAGACGAGAAATATCCCAGCAACAGAGCGTGCAAGCGGCTACTTGGGAATTAGCTCTGGAACTGTAGTGCGGAGCACAACCTACCTGTCGCCGACTCAAATTCAACCTCGTCGTATCGTCGAAGAACTTGTGTAACCAAACGCTATGGCGTTGCGCAATAGTTTGGCACGCATCCAGCCAAGAAACTTCGCCAGGTTGGCCGATGGTCTGTGACATGCTAATCATCATGTGGATCACTAAGAAGATAAAGTGAAATATGGCGGCGAAAAGGCGAAATGGGAGAGCTTTGGGAAGGACCAACCCCCAGAGAACCTCCACTTTAGGGACGGCAACGGTCACTAGGAGCAGTCTCAATGGTAGCTCATTCGCTGGGTACCAGGCCAAGATGAGAACAAGGACTGTTGACAATAGGCACCCATCTAACGCGCCTTCGGGGATAAAACCGGTAAGAGTAGCATCGTTGGTGGCTTCAGCGACAAGTATGAATACTGACCATGGGAGATTAGCTGATGGTGGCCTCATTATGCGGCGCGAACTCACCCTTTGCGACAAAAATGTACGGAAAGACCAAGTTGAGCGGCAGCCTTGACAAAATAGCGAGCGAGAAGACTTGTCCAACAAAGAAGGAGACCTTGTAGTTCAACAAATCGTAGGAACGGCCGTTGAAATCGTATGGTCTGAAGATATTGACGCTGAGCTACAGAATGTCAGACTCATTGGCAAATGGGGATCAAAATAGAGGAACGCCAATGCCGAGTTGATGACAGCAAGGACCTGGACGTCTCAATAAGACTCTTGGAGCCATACCACCCAAGTCCATATGACGGGCACTTGAAATGTGGTAAATCCCCAACATGCGAATAACAGTTGAAGTGGTATACCAGAGGAGTGAGGATACTCACAAGGCATATGACGAGAAACAAAAATTATGTTTTCCGTCGACTCGGTCGTTCCACTACTGGAGACTGCCTGCCGTGATTGCTTGTGTTCGAAATATCTGGCTGTAGACCGTCTGGTAGAGGACTTTCGGCGACACCGGTGATAGTTGGATGTGATGCAAGTGAGACGCTAACTTGGTCCATCAAACGCATCCCTTCCAGTTGGCGACGGCTTGTTCTGAGGTTGGCTTGCCGATGATACGTCTGTGCTTTCGGGTCATATGAACAAAGCATGGCCCTGTGCATCTCGTGCTCCTGCCCACATACAAACATCGCAAGAGGGGGCGTGTTGCATTGTAGATGTGTCACCGTCAGGAGGTGCGTATCAATGAGGGTGTAAGAAAAGCTGTCCTCTGCTTGTTGCGGGGGAAGAGTCTCTGAGCGAGTGCTGACAGTGTCAGAGTAAGACTGTAAGGATACGTCTCTAAGGTTTCCGTGGTTGGAGCCCCAGAGATATGTCTCAACAGTTCCAGCATTCATGAAACCTTCAACGCCAATGAGGCGAGGGACGAATGGCTGCTTGGTGTTTCGCTTGGAACCGATGAGAAGTGCAGGAAGTGCGAAAGCAAATACGCCAATGGCGGAGAAAATGATTGTCGCAAATGCCTTGACTGGAACCAGTGAGCCAGATCGATCAATGGGTGGCCAATCCGGGTGAAGAAATTTGGGGAACCCTTCGGGCGGCTTTATTCCACCCATATGGTCAAATGATGACACATAAATCCCGATCATGATTAGAACCGGCACAGCTGTGCAACAGAAGAAAGAGAAAGAGAAGAGTGCGTTCTGAAAGTGGCCCATACTCCGGTCACCATACGGCTCTGGATCGATGCGCTGCCATTGGATTGTGGCTCCGTAGACGCCATCAAGAATGACTGTGTTGGAGCCTGAAACGCCTTGCACTTTGAGAAATGGTTGAATATCTCCAAGTCTTGCTCCCCATAGGTCTTCAGCGTGATACCAAGGAGCACCAGTTGGCGGCGAGAGACAGACTAAGCGATCAAGAAAGGCGCCACTGTCGTTGACGAGAGACAATTTGGCAAAGGCCTGGAACCCGGTGTCTTCCTTGTTGACTTGCGGCCGAAGGCGGCTGGGAAAGAGACCCATGATCGCGTAGGCTATATCTCCCTGGCTGAACTGGTCGGTTTGGCGCCGAGCAAAGCATCTTAATGCTGCCTCGATCAAGTTCACCGAAGTTAGGATGGCCGAGCCCTCGAAGTGGTTGACCAGTTCCTTGACAGCCTCTGCATCATCCCAAGCCCTCTCTGCAAAATTCCGTTTCGCCATAGGCTTTGGTTCTGAAGTGTCTCCGACAACATAAAGCCGTATTCTGTATTCTGCTGGGCAAAGTAGCAGTTCGGGCAGCGTCCATAGTCTTGAGCCCCATTGTCTGAGCCAGGGAGTCACCTGTTCCCTGCGGTATTTTGGAGGTTCCTCGTGGGCCAGAAGGCAGGCCACCGTTTCTGAAGCCGTAGGTCCGATAGCTATGATCATAGAGTGCGCCGCCCGTACGATGTCGCAGATTCTGTACACGTCCTCGCTGCTGCTAGATGATCTTGCAACCCCGTCGTCGTTTCGCACGCATTCAAAGTCCAACCAAAAGGCTTTCTTCCTGACTCGTTTGGCCGCATCCATACCCCATCGTGCCAGTGTCTCCCGATCTCTTCTCGCAAGAGCTCGATTGGCTTCTCTCGTCTCCTCATCGGGATAGTCATAACTGGAAATTTCATCGTCGGTGGCTACCCGGAAATGCATACGTGTGTAGGATACAAGGACAAACTCCAGATCAATGTCGTCTCCATTCTCGGCAAGGTATTCGGATACGTTGATGGTTTCATAGGTGCACTCGTCGAAGTCTTTCACAAGGCAAAGATACCTCGGACGGACAAAGGCGGTGGTATCTTCTTGATGTCTTCTTCCGTTCTCATTGTAGGTGAGCCTTGGTTGGTCCTGACTTGGCAGAGGAGGAACCAAGCCCTCGTCCATTCGTATGTCGTCCAGATACTGACGGCCAGTTGCCGCAATGCCACCAGCGGAGATAAGAGCGGTGTGCGGATCCAGTCTCCGAGAGCCGCCATTTGCCAGGGGTTGTCGCTGAACACCCAACCCAGGCATGGAAAGTGAGTTTACTAATCCGTAAACTAGTCTATGAAATGTGGCCATGGGTTCTTGCCAGGATACCTAAGGGGTATGTTAGCAAAGCGAAATACGTCTGGAAGCCTCAAGAACGCCCAGAAAAGATGCACATAGAGCTATCATACCAGAACGCAAAACACGGGCCATGAAACAATGAATTTGGGAGCCGTGATGAGAAGAAACACAGGGTTTTTACGAATATCTCGGGTGCCGGGGACGAATAATGACGACGCAACCCAACTTGTGAGACGGAGAAGGAGCGTGACTTGCGGAATCGGCTTTCCTAACCGCGTCCACCGCGTCGTCGGAGGTAGGAGACTCGGGTCGCTGGCCGTTTGCACCACCAATGGAACCATCCGCCCATCGGATGGGCGTGGCCACCATTCATGCTGCGGATTCGCGTAGTCGGGCGCCATCGAACCTACCAGCTATACACACGCTTTTGATAACGCGTAAACACCTGGGTCCGCGAAAGGAGATGTAGGGGATGGTAGCTTGCTTGTTCCTGAATGGATGGTAAAGCAGTCGTGAGGAGATCGTCGCCTTAAGTGGTTGTTGCCTGCATGCGCGAGCCGCACAGCCACGCCAGGGAGATCTGCTGAAATGGGGTTCCACAATCGCCTGCAATCTGAGACACAACATTCTTGTGTTGCGCACTAGATGCTGACATATATGTGGCGTACTTTTTTTTGAGTCCGCCTCATTTTCCGATTTTTCCGATTGATATCTCCGCGGTTATTCCTGTCCACGCAAGAGTTTTCCTATTCGGGCGAATACTTCTGGCTGACCGGGCGAGTAACTTAGAAATAATCGATGACAACGACGATAACGATAAAAATAGAGACAGGGATAGGAATAGTGACAATAGTGTTGAAAGTTAATTTAGGTCAAATAGACTATTAGACCCAATATAGGAGGTTATCCGCCGGATAGCAAGACTCCTACGCAATGTTAAATATGACAACGATTCAAGGAAGACGGTAACTAATGACGATGACAACGGTGCCACAGCATTGGGCAAGTCTCCAAGAAGGAACTCAGAGAAGTTGAACACATGGCTAACGTGAAATGGTATTATGCATGACAGAAACCTAAAGGTTTGCCGAGGTGCTTCGCTACGAGTGTTCCCTCGGAGCTAGTAGACATAGATGAAATCCTCGTTCTTAAGATCAGTCATGTCGCGCAGGGCATTATCCTCCTCAATCGTCCTGTGCTGCTGGCCGGCAGCATCACCCTCAACCTCGACAGCCTTGCTGGTCTCCGTCTCGTCCTTACGCAACATGGACTCGTCGACGATCTGGGCGCTCTTGCCGAGCTCCTCACGGCGCTTGGCGTGCTTGCTGTTGAGGAACTTGAGGTAGATAGGAATCAGACTGCAAAGTGGCAAGTTAGCAATCGCGGCCAAGGTCGCAGGCTAGGAGGGCTTGAACTTACAGTCCCATGATGCCAACAAGGACAAACATGACCAAGTTCGAGATGAGTCCAGGACGGTAGAGTGGGGCGTCGTCGACAGAGTACAGTAGGGGTCCGATGATGTTGCCAACACACATTCCGATGAAGACTACGGCGGAAGTCGTCTTCTTCTTGGTGTCACCAGCGGTGTTCTGCACCTGCCATGTGAAGATGATGGGGGTGATGGCAGCAAGGATAGAGACAAGGTAGTACCCAAACAGCAAGACACCCTTCTCATGACGGGGCACGGTAAGCATCAGGATGGAGCCGATGGCAGGCGGGACGGATAGCATAGAGATGACGACACCCTTGCGCTTGATCTTAGTCGCGAGCCAGCCGCTGCCCATGATGGCGATGATCTGGATGGCGCCGAAGGGGATGTTGAACAAGATCGTGGTGAAGCTGTCGTAGCCAAAAGACTTGACGATGAGGTTGCCAAAGGTGGAGATGCCGCCGCTGGCAATGGAGATGGCGATGATGAGCAAGAACCAGCACCATGTCTTGAGGTCCAGGAAGGTCTCGAGGACGTGGTCCCAGCGCCAGTGGCCTGATTGCATGCCCATCTGGTTCGCGCGGAGACGCTCGACGGCGATGACCTTTTCTCTCTCGGTGAGGTACTTGGCGGAGATGGGCGAGTCGGGCATGAGGATGAGGACGATGAAGGAGTATGAGACGGTCAGAAGGCCGCAGAACCTGTATCGGTTGTTAGCTCTGTTTTGACAGCTGGGTGAGGTATGGTTACTCACAGGAAGATGATCTGATATGAGTGCAGCGTTTCGCTCTTGATGTGTCCCAGTCCATACGTCGCCAAGCTACCCACGATGAAAGTCACACCGTTCATGGCGTTCCAAGACGTGGTAACGAGCGTCTGTTCACTGCGTCTCCACCACATAGTTGTAACACTCAGACATGAAGGTGCGATGAGAGCCTCGAACGTGCCGAGCATGAACCGCAGACCGAGAAGTGAGCCAAAGTTTGTGCATGAGGTCATGATGGCGAGCATGGAGCCCCAGAGGAAGATTGCGGCGGCGATGACTTTTCCGTTGGGCAGCTTGACGAGAATGAAGGCGGCGGCGGGTTGCCAGACGAGTTGAGCGATGTAGAGGATGGAGCCGAGCCAGGAGTATTGGCGGCCGACGAGGCCGGCGTCTTCTGTGATGCCGAAGATGGAAACATAGCTGTTGTGTCGAGATGGTTAGTTGTTGATGTAAGACGAGATGAATGTTTGAGAAGGTTCAATGAGAAGAGGATTGTGTCGATGGAACTCACCTGAGGGAACTTTTGTCGAGTTGCTGGAAGAAGTATGCGCCCAGGAGAAGAGGCAGAATGCGGAAGTTGATGCGCTTCAAGACCGCTTTCTCTTCCTCATAGGTGAATGCCGTATCGCCGCCTCCATGTTCCACTAAGAACTGAGCCGCCTTTTCCTGAAGGCTGTCACCCTGGACCGGCTCATGGCGGACGGGCTCAATCGCGTCGACGGCGTTGCCGCCATTTTGGTTCGTGGCTGGTGCATTGGTAGCCATCCTGACTCACGCCCTAGCAGGCCCGAAATGATGCAAGTAATGTCGAATCCCTTCTAGAAGACGATGAGAAGGCGACAGGAATGGCGGCTGAGATGATCACGCAACACCGCGAGGATGGAACCGGTGGGATGTCAACCAAAACCTAGCGTCGTATAAACCACCCAGAATCCGGGGACAGTTCATCTTATCAAGTCGCACGCAGCCCCCAAACCCCAGGTTCTACCCCAACATTCGGGCTCCTCTCAGCCGACTCAATTTCACGCAGCAAACCTGGAGAAAGCCCGGGGTAGACTGGGGCCAGAATTATGGATATCCTCGAACACATGACCTGGGCCGTTGCGTATTTCCGCTCGGTTTCTCTTCTACATCGCGTGGTCCTGGCGCGACGACCCATGGACGGATACGGTCAACGTAACCACCCGGATATTAATCCCATACCAAGGTCTTGGTCCCGTTGCTTGACCAACATCCAAGACATCACACCCCTGGCCGCCGAGAAAAGTCCCCATTGGAGGAAGAATTTCAGCCTGAATGCGAGCGACGAGGGGTGCGACGTTTTGGCCGCCTCGTGTCGAATCATGCCCTGCAACACCGCGTGATGATTGGCAGGTCTCCCACGAGTCGTGGAAGCGATTCCCTGCTCAGAGCCGGAGATCCACGGGCTTGGGGAGCGGGTGGCTGTCAACGGCCGCGCTGGGCAATGTGCAATTCAGCTGGGTACCGGCTGGGCTGACGTTGACGTTGCAATCAAAAGATAGACACCCCCAAACTCTCTCCGCATTCTCGTAACCCCGACTTCCCCCGCCCGAGGTTTGGTTAAAATGAGGAGAACCCACTTAAGAGCAATCCACCCCCGCGTCGCCCCCAGAGGATAAGAAAAAAGGAGTCGGACCACCCCCGCATTGCTGTGTGGGGATCAGGCCTCGGGTGTTCAAACTGCCGCAGGAGACAATAAACGTGGTCGTATTTTGGCTAAACTCGGGAGATGGGGGAGATGGACCCGAGATGAGGGTGTCGATGTGCCGGATGCCGTGCTGCGTGGGGTGTGTGATTGCCGTTCTTCGGAGTCGTGACGTCCTCGCGGGGTTACCAAGACTTGCAAATAACTTCAGGTCCTTTTCCTTTTGCACACGTCTGTGTTGAGACCTGTTTCCGTTGGAATCTCAAACCTATCAAACACCAACAAAATCGCCGAAATATCACCAAACATGGCCGACATCACGACCAAGAAGAAGCGCTACGCCATCGTCGGCACCGGCGGCCGCTCCAGCTTCTTCTACACAGCCATAGCCCAAGACTACAGCGCGACGTCCACCATCGTCGGCCTCTGCGACACCAACCAGACACGCATGAACTTCGCCAATAGCAAGCTCGAAGCCCTCGGCCACAGCGCCGTCCCGACGTACCTCGCCGCCTCCTTCGACCAGATGATCGCCGACACCAAGCCCGACGAGGTGATCGTGACGACCGTCGACCGCACGCACAACATCTACATCGTGCGCGCGCTCGAGCTCGGGTGCAACGTCGTGACCGAGAAGCCGATGACCATCGACGCGCCGCGGTGCCGCGAGATCTTCTCGGCGGTCGAGCGCACGGGGAACAAGGTCCGCGTGACGTTCAACTACCGCTACGCGCCGCACAACACCAAGATCTTTGAGATACTCAAGGCGGACAAGATTGGCAAGGTGACGAGCGTGCATTTCGAGTGGATGCTGAACGAGAACCACGGCGCCGACTACTTCCGGCGGTGGCACCGGGATAAGCGCAACTCGGGGGGCTTGTTGGTGCATAAGTCGACGCATCACTTCGACTTGGTGAACTTCTGGCTGCAGACGCGGCCGCAGACGGTGTATGCGCAGGGCGATTTGAAATTCTACGGGAAGGAGAACGCGGAGAGTAGGGGCGTGACGAAGTTCTACTCGCGTGCGCATGGGAGCGAGGCGGCGAAAGATGATCCGTTTGCGTTGCAGCTGGATCAGAATCCTAATTTGAAGGCGATGTATCTTGATGCTGAGCATGAAGACGCGTATTATCGCGACCAGAGTGTGTTTGGAGACGGTATCTCCATCGAGGTTGGCATTGCAAAGTCCTCTTTAGCATCAAAATGCTGACCGTCATTTTAGGACACGATGAATCTACTAATCCGATACCGCAACGGCGCCGTCATGACGTACTCGCTAACGGCGTATGCCCCGTGGGAGGGCTTCCGTGTCAACTTCAACGGAACCGGCGGACGTCTGGAGGTCGAGGTTGTCGAGAAGAGTTACGTGAACTCGGGGGGAAGCCAGGCTCTCGAAGGCGCAATTGAGAAGAGGACGATGTTGCTGCGGCCCTTGTTCGGCCCGCCCCAGGAGATTGATCTCGGCGAGGCAAAGGGTGCACATGGAGGTGGTGATCTTGTGCTATTGAGAGATCTGTTTGGAGAACCTGTTTCCGACGAGTACATGAGGGCCGCCAGCCATGTGGACGGCGCCGCGTCGATCTTGACGGGCATTGCAGCGAACCGGTCTATTGCGACGGGGCAGGTTGTGAATGTGGATGATATCTTGGTTGTGCCTGAGAAATAGAAGGTCCGAGGTGTTCTCGAGGGACTTGGGCGGAAACATAAATTGGGATGAACTGGAAGTTGATATCATGACGTTTAAGTTCAATCTGGGCTCCTTCGTATTGATCGAGATATCGCGAAACCTCGTGACCTTTGGAAGGAAGACAAGCCCGCCAGACGATACCAAGATCATCGCTTAATCGGAAGGGACTTGTACTATACTGCGTTTCAGTCTGATGGCGAGTCAGTTCTTTAACCTTGTTGGTCCCAAAGGCAAAGTCCGGAAAGAGCGACAGTTTGTGCTCCGATGTGGAAATTCAAACTCCGTTGCGACTAAAGTTGGAAAGGCTGAAGTCTTTCTAATATGATGAAAATCATTTTGCCATGATGGTCTATTGATGTTGTATGTTTCGCAGCCAATGCCGACTAATAAAAAAGATGCGCCCCAAACGCCTGACCTAGCTTTTGCACACCCGTGTGCATAATACAAAGAGGCTGCAGACTTGTGAGATACAGTTTGGCCCGCCTGGAAAGCAACCTCATAAAGTAGGTACGGATGGTGCAAGCCCATCCCTCAATCAACCTCTATCGTACTTTTCAACCACTAAGTGACAACGTTAAGCGGGCCGGGCCGCGAATGCTGGACGATCGTGCTTTTCATCCGTCGAATGATCAGCAGTGCATGCGGTCAAACGTTGAGGATTACATACATGCTATTAACCCCAGCGCAGCTTTTCTGAGCGGTGGCTAGCACACACACGTCGGGTCGTGGTAGCTTCCGGGATCCATTCGCGGCTACTGCCAACCGATTCCGTAGACGTAAGAAGGCATCCGCAAGGGGGTGTAGTTGGGTGTGGAACCCCGCGAGGTCTCGCTGGCCACTGATCTGAATAGAAAAAGGTTAGGCAACGTAAGGCGGCATGGCGTGCAGAACTGACCTGTAGCTGCATAATCGTGATGAAGTGAGACTTGGACGCGAGGTTGGTACACTGAGTACTGGAGACCCTCAAGCCTTTCGAGCTCTTCAGGCTTCTTAATACGATCCATACGACCTTTATAGGCTACCCAGAGATTAAGTGTGGCTACAAGTAGGCTGAGTATGCCAAAAAAGATTGAAACGGCAAGACTGATTGCTTATGTAGATAAACCAAGCATTTTGACTTTATGTAATAGCGTTGTGGCGTGAAAGGTTCCGTCGTGCAAGTCGTCCAATGCCAGAGCTGATTGAAATCGGGATGGGAGAGAGGCGGGTGAAATCAGAAAGCAGGCAATCCTTAGGCTTGTCGTGACGGTAGCCTTAGCTAGGATCCGAAAGATTGTCCAAATCGTGAAGGGAATAATTTGAAAGAGAAGAGGGAAACATTCGCGCAGCTGGGAAGTAATGGATTTGGGCATGGCGAGAGAGGATGCGAACCACCTCAATTTTAGTGGCTGCCTTATGGCTGGCGCACCAGAAGCGACTCACCCTCCATCATTTCTCAGGGTGTCAGCTAGCCCCATCATAGAGCAGTAGGACCAGACTTATCTCTGTAGGTCCCTAGATGATTCTTTCTTGAACTAGCTGGATTGGCCTTTGAAAATCTCCCGTTGGAGGCTTGTAGTGGCTGTGGCTGATGCCCACCACCTGGTAGGTGCAGTCCGTACGTACCGCCCTGAAGGAGATGTGACTGAAGGTAAAAGACATAGGCTTAGTCACCCTAGCATTCTGGTTACCTTTCCGCATCATCTTAGCAGCTGTGCCTTCATTGCAAGCATTTCCGGAGGTAACAGCAAGTTATGTATCTTTAAAAAAAAAAAAAAGCTCACATTATTCTCTAGCATAGACAGCTGCAAAAACAGGTGTATTTAAGGGAAGGTACCTAACATGCCTGTACTAATTGATCGACCCTGTTTCCAAGCCAGTGAGATCAGTTCAGACACACTTGTTGTCAAATTGGCCATGATAACCTTGAGAGGTGTCAGTCGCTATGAAAGGTGTCCGCCACTAAGCGACCTTGAGAGGAGTTGAGAAGAGTTTTCTATGGTTATGCCAAACTCTATTGATAAAGGAAAAAGCCCTCACTCTGG